AGCCGTTTTTGGCGCATAACTTTTGAACCGTTGATGCTTTGACAAAAAGTGTAATACATTTTTAAGTATTAAAAATATCTACAAAATGAGACAAATTAAGTTAAAATTCGTTCATTTAGTTACTTAACAAAAACAAAAAATCTGCAAAATTTTGCTTTCAAATAATAGTACTATAACTTTTTTGAAGGCCTTTGTACACTTTAAAAGTGGTATACATTTTAGCGTAAAATATTCATAACTTTTTGTTATGCCACAATAGATCATGCCAGATTCTAAATAAGTTTTTTTTGAGACTTCGGAAAGACTTCTCTGAGGTTGTATTTTACTCGTAAACAGTTATACTCCACTGTACAATAAAAGAAATGTAAAAGATTATTGGAAGTTGTTCAGAAGGATGTCGGAATATTGGGATAATAGTTTGCACGCTATTTCCGGCTGAAGAACATTGTTTCAATAATCAAAGAAAGTGCGGAAAGCCGTTTTTGGCGCATAACTTTTGAACCGTTGATGCTTTGACAAAAAGTGTAATACATTTTTAAGTATTAAAAATATCTACAAAATGAGACAAACTAAGTTAAAATCCGTTCATTTAATTACTTAAAAAAAAAACAAAAATCTGCCAAATTTTGCTTCTAAAAAATAGTACTATAAGTTTTTTGAAGGCACACTTTACAGTACCCTTTAAAAGTGGTATACATTTTAGCGTAAAATATTCATAACTTTTTGTTATACCACAATGGATCATGCCAGATTTTAAATAAATTTTTTTTTAGACGTCGGAAAGACTTCTCTGAGGTTGTATTTTACTCGTAAAGAGTTATACTCCACTGTACGATAAAAGAAATGTAAAAGATTATTGGAAGTTGTTCAGAAGGATGTCGGAATATTGGGATAATAGTTTGCACGCTATTTCCGGCTGGAGAACATTGTTTCAATAATCAAAGAAAGTGCGGAAAGCCGTTCTTGGCGCATAACTTTTGAACCGTTGATGCTTTGACAAAAAGTGTAATACATTTTTAAGTATTAAAAATATCTACAAAATGAGACAAACTAAGTTAAAATCCGTTCATTTA